GATCCCCGTAGATCAATTTAAACCATCTGATGTGGAAATCCAGGCCTGCTTCCGGCATGAGAACATCGCTGAATTATATGGTGCTGTCCTTTGGGGCGAAACTGTCCATCTCTTTATGGAAGCAGGCGAGGGTGGGTCTGTTCTGGAAAAATTGGAGAGCTGTGGACCCATGAGAGAATTTGAAATTATTTGGGTGACAAAGCATGTTCTCAAGGGACTTGATTTTCTACACTCAAAGAAAGTGATTCACCACGATATTAAACGTGAGTAGCTTGGGGTGTGTAGTATTTTAGCTTAAGCAGACTCTTGAGGTGGGAGGCAAGTGGGCTCTTTCCTTCAACCTGAAGCCTCAGTGGCAGGGAAGACAGCACAGTTCACCTTCCTTCTCTTTGCACCTGAGGTAGGTCTTAGAAATGGGCTGGGTTGATAGCACTTTAAAAGTCAGATGAAAAGATGATAACCCAACAGTTGATTCAAAGATTATAGCCACACATCTGTTAAGATATTCTGCCTTGGCCATTGTTAACAAGGCTGGAGGTGGAGTTCAGTAGTAGAGAGCATGCTTAACGTGCTTGAGACACTGGACTGGATCCCCAAAACTGAAAGAATAAAAAAAAAGTTACTTCTTTAAACACATAAATCAAGAGTTTTTTAGGAACAAAGTAACTTTTTAATTTTAATTTTGAGCACCAACTAGTTAATAATTCGATCAGCCAGGCTTTACTGACCCTTTTCTAGAATTAAGATATGGTGAGGAAATAAAGAAGAAACCCATTATAAACCTTTAATACCTAATGTTGGACTGGGGTTGTAGCATAGTGGTAGAGCGCTCGCCTAGCATGTGTGAGGCACTGGGTTTGATCCTCAGCACCCCATAAAAATAAATAAATAAAATAAAGGTATTGTGTCCATCTACAAATTAAAAAATACAAAAAAACCCCCCTAATGCTAAGTTGGACTAGCACAATTTTTACTGAAAAAAAAGAGAAGAATATTGTACTTCCTGTTTTAAAAAAGTAATTAGATAATAGTATGCTTATATCTTAGAATTTGAAACTCAAGCTCTTGAGCATTATTCATGGCTGTAATCATCTATGCCAGCATTGGCTTAATTCTTGAGATTTGAAATGATTTTCACCTAAACTCTTATCAAGATTCATCTTCCTCTTTTAAACATAATATACCCTCTCATTAGGGAAAGCGTTTCAGTCTGCTCTGATTTGAGACTCATTTTTATTTTAGATAATGGTTTCATTTTATATACATAGGATATAAAAACAATTTTGTGCTAAAATTTTTTCTTCTTGTTATAGCTAGCAACATTGTTTTCATGTCCACAAAAGCTGTGTTGGTGGATTTTGGCCTAAGCGTTCAGATGACTGAAGATATCTATTTCCCTAAGGATCTTCGAGGAACAGAGGTAATTATATTCATATGAAAATATTTAGTATCTTTAGAAAAAATGTATTCTAGAATTACTGTGAGAAAGGACAAAGAAGGGGATGAAAACCATTACATGAAAGTCATTCTCATCAGAACAAATTTAATGGTCACTTTTGTTTTGTACCAAGTTTTTAGTTTAACACTTTAATTCTAATTCTTTATTCTCTACTATTTATAATGCATTATAATATTATAATATAATATGTATGCATGTGCACATATATATTTGTGTGTGTATATATATATAACATACAACTCTTAGACACCATCTAATGCCAAAATAGATTACCAGTTGAGCAATCCTCATCCTAATCTGAAAATCCAGAGATTAGGGATGTTCAACTGGTAAAGTTTATGCACATACTCCCAAATCCAAAAAACTCCCAAATCAGAAATGCTTCTAGTCCTAAGCATTTCAGATAAGAGAGATTCAACTTGCACATCCACAATTCAGCTTTAAAAGCAGTTATGAAATTACAGTTAACTTTACAAAAATAGGTTTAACACTGTAAATGAATTATGTTATTTAATTCTGACAACTCTATTATTGGTAGTAATGTTATCATATTATTATACTATAAGGAAATAAACTGGAAGAGATCAAAATAAAATACCTGAAGTTGTTTAGCTTCCAACAGGTCTGAGACTTGAATTCTGTTCTTTCTTTAAGCCTAAAGTCTACCTACTGTGTAATTATTTTTTTTCAGTACTAGGTATTGAACCCCGGGCCTCAAACACACTAAGCAAGCACTGTACCACTGAATAACACACATAGCCCATTTAACATAATAAATATATTGCTAAAATGTACTACTAATATAACTAATACCATTATGTTTTGTTTCAATTATGGTCTTAATTACCATGATCTTTACTACTTATTGAGAACTTCCTACAAAGCCCTATTTCTCGTTCTAGGTGTCTTATAATAAACCTGAAGTCATTAGCACAAACACATCTCATTTGAAGATATAAAATAGGTATACTATTTAGCTCATCTGTGAATCTAAATGAGTTTCTGGGGCAAACATTTATGGGCTTTCAAATAATATATTTAACATTCCCATCATTAGGCTGAGTGTTTGACTATAGCCAGTGTCTACTGAGGGTCTGCCATGTGACAGACTGTTAAGGACACCAGCCAGCATGTGCCCTTGGTGATACTTCTTGGTCCCCACTGTATAGTCAATTAGATTGATCGATTTACTTTTTAGAAAGTTATTCTAACATATTATTTTCTTATCTAACTAAATTTATTTATTTATTTTTGCAATACTAGGGATTGAACCCAGGGGTGCTCTACCGTTGGGGCTATATTTCCAGCCCTTTTTTTCTAGTTTAATTTTTTAAGACAGGTCTTACTAAATTGCCCAGGCTAGCCTCAAACTTGGGAATCCTTCTGCCTCAACCTCCTGAGTAGCTGGAACTACAGGCACGTACCATATCATGTGATGCCTAATTACATTTATTTAATTATTTATTCATGCATACATAAAGGCATAAATCATACATATCGATGAGTTACCCTGTGATGTTTCAATACACATATATATATCAGTTTAAGCATCTCTCTCCTCAAACTTATATTGCTTCTTTATGGTGAAAACATTCAAAATCCTTCTTCTTGCATTTCAAGAGAGACAGTACACAATCACAACCTATAGTCATGATACCATGCAAATAGCACACCAGAACTTTTTGCTCATATCTAATAACAGCTGAGCTCTCAGTGATCAACCTTTCCCCATCCCTCCCTCCTCCAGAAGGATCTCTTTGAGATTCACATGAATTATTAAGAGATCAGCAGCTGAGTTCACAATAGGATGTGATGGGAACACAGCAATGCACCTGGGAAAGGTAAAGGTGCCTCTTGGCTACTCTTTGCTGAACCTCCCACACCCATAGTGGCCACTGGAAGTGAAGAGAGTCCTTGGCTACATTTTGCTTCAAGTCTACCATATCAGTCTTGGTGTTGAACCAGATGACAGCCCATAGTGTAGCTGGTATATATGCTGTCATGAACTGAATTGCAGTGAGGAAAAAAAAAAAATCTTGCTTCTAAACCGAGATTCTGTTATCCTTTTCTTAACTCTCCCAAAGCAAAGACTTCCCGGGCAGTGAAGAAACCCTTGTTTTGCTGACATGCCTGATGTAATTTCTGGAACTTATTTGAGAGAAATTTCTTGATCATCATGTTTGAGCAGAATAATATTCAGAAGAGAAACTGTAGAGTGTTAAAAAACAACAACAACTATGTTTAATCCTCAGATCTTAAGAGTACTTTGCCAGAGCAAAATCTAATAAGACTTGATGCTTATGACATGTTTTCTTTGGAAAATGTTTCAGCATATTTTGGCATTACTTAGTAGTTCAGATATGTGACATTCCACCCTTTTTCCTGGAGCCAGTATGAGAAACTATTTATGGTATTAGAGATGGAAAATACCTTTTGCTTCCTGGCAATGCAGTCAAATTGAACATTTTGCAATGTTAGAGAAAGATGTGTCTTTTGGGGGATTCTTGAAGGATACTTGGATATGACATAATAGCAGATTTCATCACTGCATAGTGTTTAGACAAGTATTTTTCAGCTAATGCAAACTACTTTATATGAAGTGCAAAACCGGCTTTGGTGTTTATAAACTCTCTTTCAATCAACCTGCATTTACTATCTGTGCAGTGTTCACAGACTAAAATTTGCTAATAGGGAGTGTGATACATTTCGTAAAGTTATCAATGAACTCTTTCAGTAAACTTGCTTTTATTTCTCATAGCAAATGAGATATATTTAGTCAAAGTCAACTGTACACATATCATGGATTTGCTTTCCTTTAGAACTTAGCTACATGGCTATTGCACAGCCAGATGACTTCTGATCCGTAACATATAATAGCTTACAAATACCAGTCATCTGTGTTGGATTTCTGTCTGTCTATCTCTCACTCTCAGCATTCATATTCAGAGCATTATATTATAACCATATAAAACATATAAAGGGTCCATCTGCATGTATTTTTTTTAGTTTTACTTTATATGATAAAAACAAAGATTGCATGAACATAAGTAATAATTTATCATTACATCCATAGTGCAGTCCTTTTTTAAAGTTCTCACCTTCTTCTGAGCCTGGTCTTACCATCTCTAGGTTGATATGTAATCATCGCAGGCACATGCATACAGACATACATCCACATGCATAGTCTTTCCCTTAATAAAAAACAGGTTGAGAGGCAAAGGACTTAATCCTGACATCAGGCTTCTTACTCTGGGACCTATGCCTGAGGATGTACAACTCTCAGAGAGGGTCCCATTAGTTCTGTTTGCACCTTCCAGGCAGCCAGCCTGAAGAGTGCTTGTACATCATGCCCTGCTGCTCAGTGGTCTGCCTGTTCTGGCTCTTGTAGAGCTTGAGGGAATAGGAGCTCTGAGCCAAGAAGTTCTGGGTGTCTATCTGAGGGCCAGCATCCAGGTCACCAGGCTGGACCCTTATGCTGCCATTGCCAGATGCAGCCTCAGTGTGCGAAGAGTCTGCAAAGCCACCTGTACATGGCCACTGTTGGTTATACCAACAATATATAATTGGCTTAATCCTTACTTTACCCTGAGGGGCCTGAAGGAGATAGGTTTCCTCTATTGATATGAACGCCCACTCCATGCAAAATCTAAATACTCTGTCTTTGTTGCAGAGAAAGTTTATGAACAGAGAGCTCAGTTTAGCATGTTTGCTGAGAGTGAAAGGAAGTCATCCTGGAAGTGAGATGTAGGATGAAGTTGAGGGCTGGGAAGGGGAAACTGGGCAATTTCCCCAGTTTTTGAAGCTTGTTCTCTACTTACTTATTCAGAGATATATTCTGGGAACATTACCCTTTTCTCCATATTCACATGACAGACAGCATCAACACTTTTTAAACCTAAATAATAGCTTTATTATTCCTCATTCAAAATACTTAATCCCACAAATGTTTAAGATTCCTGGCTTTTTTAAAATTTTGCAACATTTGCGTATACATGATGAGATATCTTTGGAGATGGGACCCAAACCAAAATAGGAAATTCACTTATGTTTCATGCCCACCTGAAGAAAATTTTTACAATAATTTTAATATGCCTCTGTTTCTGTAGTTTGGAGTTATTTTTGTTTTTATTTTGAGTTGGGCTTCACTGTGTTGTCCTGGCTTGTCCTGTAATTGTGAGCTTAAATCGTCCTCCTGCCCTCTTTTCTAAGAAGCTGGAACTACAGGCATGTGCCACCATGCCTTGTGCACTTGTGTTACGTGACCAGTTACATGAGGTCAGGGGTATCATTTTCTACTTGTGACATATTCTCAGAACTCAGAAAGCTTCAGATTTTGGAACCTTTAAAATTTTGGATTTCAGATTAGGGATGTTCAACCTGAATCAAAACTTAGGATATTACCTACTATGTCTGTACCTAGCCATAAACATGGATTATTGGCTACTGATATTTTCTGTTTTTAACTCTTAAAAGTTTAGAAATAAGCACTTCTTAGAGAATTATTTATAAAACTAGCCCTACTTACTTAGTATCTACCTGTTATACTAAATAGAACTTAGACACCATTAATGTGGGAGGCATGTCATTTTCAGTCACTGGGCTTACATGGTAGGTGGAAGTAAAAGGTGGTCCATGGAAATGACTCATTAGGGGATGGAAATACAGCTCAGTTGGTAGAGTGCTTACCTTGCATGCAAAAGGCCCTGGGTTCAATTCCAAGCACCACAAAGAAAAAAAAGAAATGACTCATTAGGACCCCTTTTGCAGCATTACACTTTATTCTTTAAAGTTCTTCCCTTCCAAGCAATTGGTGTTGATGTTCTGTAAGTKTCTGCCACCTTTTAACACTACTGATAATTAGAGGTTTGACAACTAAATAACAGATGAGGAAGTATATTTGTAGTATCACTTAAATATGAAAGGAGGCTAGACGCTGTGTCACATGCCTGTAATCCCAGCAACTTGGGAGGCTGAGGCAAAAGGATTGCAAGTTCAAAGCCAGCCTTACAAGGCCTTAAGTAACTTAGCAAGACCTTGTCTCTAAATAAAATATGAAAAGGGCTGGGGATGTGGCTCGGTGGTTAAGCGCCCCTGGGTTCAATACCTGCTACCAAAAATAAAAAAATTATATATATATGAAAGGAATTGGTGTTTTGATAGAAAAATTAACTGTACCCAATCAGTGTTTGGTGGGAGTCCCAGGTGGCTTCTTTATTGTAGGCCCTTTGCTGTCTGATGAAGCATATGTTCTGTCTGTGGAAGGAGGTATTCTTTGTCAGACTGCAGGGATACATCCATCCAAATCTGCCTAGTTCCAAGAGGATGTCTGCTGCATACTCTTTAGCTTAAGAGAACACAGCAATGACATTACATTGTCCTCTGAAAGGACAAAACATGAAAAAAATATGATAAAAACGAATGAGCCAATTTTCAGAACTGGATTAGAGAAATGGAAACCCAGACAACTGAGAGGAATCAGGCTGATGTTTCCCACATCTTTTCCAGATTTACATGAGTCCAGAAGTGATCCTATGCAGAGGCCATTCCACGAAGGCAGACATCTACAGCCTGGGAGCCACGCTCATCCACATGCAGACAGGCACCCCGCCCTGGGTGAAGCGCTACCCCCGCTCAGCCTATCCCTCTTACCTGTATATAGTAAGTGAGGGTCAACCAGGGATGGGGGTAGTTTCACCTGCTGATGGGGAGGGACTGTTCTACCTCCCATAATACCCACTCCTGAATGGGGTGATGGTGAAATAGTGTTCATGAAAGTTAGCTGTGAGTTCCTCYCCTGTGGAAGTAAGCTCCATTTTGCAAAGAAAACAGGGCTATTCTAGTGGGAACATACCAAAATGTCCATTGGGCATAAATTATATGCTATTCTATTGCACTGTATATGTAATAATAAAATACCACATTATAGTGTCAATATACTACGAATCTGTCAACCAAGAAAATTTTATATGCTCTTTGAAAACTTTTAAAGAAAAGGTAGATTATTGATCTTTGCTCCAGCCTGGCTTATAGTGGAATGTGCAATTCCCATTTTGCTATTGAGAGCAAATGTTTTCCTATTATTGCATGGTGACCTTTGGCCATCCATGGGAAGCGGTCATTGCTTATTCAAACCTAGCATGTACTTTTTGCAGCATTAAGCCAAAATATGGGTTTAAGTGCCCTAGGAAATTAAAGGGAATCTTCTTTAGGAGTATGAACCATATTTGTTGTAAATTGTATGGTGGGGAGTAGATTAATTTCTGGGTCTGGACCTCTGTTGAGGGTCTGTTTCCATGCCATTGATACTAAGAACTGGTTTTTTCGGTAGATCCACAAGCAAGCACCTCCTTTGGAAGATATAGCTGATGACTGCAGTCCAGGCATGAGAGAGCTGATAGAAGCCGCCCTGGAGAGGAACCCCAATCACCGTCCRAGAGCAGCAGACCTGCTAAAACATGAAGCCCTGAATCCCCCCAGAGAGGATCAGCCACACTGTCAGAGCCTGGACTCTGCTCTCTTTGAACGAAAGAGACTGTTGAGCAGGAAGGAGCTGGAGCTTCCCGAGAATATTGCTGGTAGGACACCCTGTGGCATGCAGTGCCCCTGGCCTCTATTCTTTCTCTGTTCGTGTCAAATCTCTGATGTAGTTCAGGAATGTATTCCAAAAAAAGGGGGAATGACAGGGTGCAATGACACATGCCTAGATGTAGTCCCAGCTGCTCAAGAGGCTGAGGCAGGAGGATCCCTTGAGCCCAAGAATTCAACTGGGCAGGCGCTGTTCTTGAATACCATGTGTTGTTTGAGAAATTCAACAAAAACATTAACAAAAGCAATTTTTTTAAAAAATGGCTAATTTACCATCAAATTATAGCAGGTTCTCAGGGTAAGTGAATGTTACCTAAGGTAATCATTAAAAATTGCCTCTGACTTGCTTTTTTGCAACAGAGACTATTATTTGGTGTTAAAAACAAATGGAGCATGACAACTTTGCTGTAAGTGCAGGTTATGTTTAACTTAATTTACCTTAATTAACAGGGTAAGACCATCGCATCTTGGGTTAGAAGCCTCCTGGCACTGTTTTACTCTGAACAGATAAAATACTGAGTTTGAAGTCAACTTGCATTTTTTTCTTTCTGTGCTTAAACTCTCTTTGTCAGCTCTGAATCGTTTCCATCTAGGAAAGTCATTATGCATTCCAGGAGACTGGACATGCATGGAGAGGTACTTTCATTTTTATTAATCTGTGGCATTCGTAGTCCATTGAGGCCCAAACCCAGGTGTCAAGTCTGGAATGCTTGTTTCCATTTCTCTGCTTTTTGTCTGATTTTTTTCTGTATTTAAAGAAAACCATCTGGGTTGTTGTAAAATGTGCCAGGATTTCTAACAAATTTCTTGTCATCATTAACTCCTGTTTGAACTCTTTGGTCTATGTCATGATCCATTAATTAGCCCATAGAGTATTCAAAGAGCTATCTGTAACAAAACCAGAGCTTGGACCCTGTTTGAGTAGGCCCCAAAGGATCATTTCTTTGCAGAAGGAATATGTGTGTGTTATTTCACATGGCCCCTTGTATTTTATTGTGTTTTTGCAATGTTTCCCTTTTCAGATTCTTCATGCACAGGAAGCACTGAGGAATCTGAGATGCTCAAGAGACAGCGTTCTCTCTACATAGACCTTGGTGCCCTGGCTGGCTACTTCAATCTTGTTCGGGGCCCACCAACACTGGAATATGGCTGATGGATGGCACTATTTGCTCTCAACTAAAGACAGCCTTTATCTCCTGGACTTTGGATCTGCAGACTCTACAGAGTGGCTCTAGATAGTGAATTATACCCTTTATTAAAAGCCGGCAGTGGGGATTCCAGTGACACACATATGAATGGGACTCCAAGYGGCCCCTGTGGATTTGATTTGTGAAGCTACTCTGGTATATGCCAGGTCTCAAGGTTCTTATTTCTCATGTGACAGGAATTAAAGGAAGAAAGGGAAAAGTTGATAGAAGGATCATTTCTGGTGACTGATTTCATTCAGTGTGAATTTTGCTTGAAATTTTAAAAATACCAATCACGAGGAGACTAGCCTAAAATTACTATTCTTGTTTCTTATTTAAATGTGGGATCTTCYTTTAACTCAGAATAATTGTGTTGTATATATTGGTGTATATAGTAGGATAATTCTTGGAGCCTTTGTTGGTAGATTCAAGTATCATTTGAATACATTATATTTTGGGTGAATAGAATAACTTGACTATTGAAGCAATAAGCTTAACTAGTGCCTTAAAAATGGCTGTTTACTTAGGAGCCATCAGACAGCAGGCCACTAGTGAGTCTCTTTTATGTTCCTATGGAAACACTTTGYACTGTACATGCTATGCTTAAAGCWTTTGAAACATGATGTTTTGAATGTGGATAAAACTGTGTAAACCACATAATCTCTGTACATCCCAAAGGATGAGAAATGTGACSTTTAAGAAAATGGAAACATTTGTAAATTCTTGGTGATACTACTACTTTTGTAATTCTTCTGAGTATTTTCTTTAAAGCATTTGTATATGAAAATGGCATACTGTGTATGTTTTATATCAAATGCCTTCATGAATTTTTCATATATGTACATATTTGTAGCATTGTAAAGTATGTAAGTATTCCTACTTAAAATATGTTTTTACATTATGCAAAGGAAACCCAACATTTTTGTCCAATGTGACTGGTCAAATCAWCTGAATAAATTTAATATTTTGTCTTAATTATTATAAAAGTGTGCTTCTTGACTGGGACGGGATGGTCATAAGTTGGTTCATATGTTGAAGGAGAATTAAGAAGGCAAAAAAAAAATACCTGGGAGTTTTGCAAATTGTGTACTTTTTTCCCATTGCTGCTCTCTAAAGCCATTGTTGTCAACTGACATGTGTTTTATCCTCTGATATGTTGAAGTACCAAAAAAAAAAAATCATAAGCCACTGGTTATGGTAAGTGGGGTCCTGTTTTGTGTTTTGTTTTTATACTTTTATATTTCCCATGAATGGAGGATTTCATGTTCTTATTAATATTTGCAAATTTTTTAAAATTTTTTTTAGAGAGAGAGAGAATTTTAATATTTATTTTTTAGTTCTCGGCGGACACAACATCTTTGTTTGTATGTGGTGCTGAGGATCAAACCCGGGCCGCACACATGCCAAGCGAACGCACTACCGCTTGAGCCACATCCCCAGCCCTAATATTTGCAAATTAATAACTGACTCTCCTTTGTGTAAGGCAAATTTAATACACACCAAATCTAATGAAAATTATTGAATGGGACTACTATCTTTCATTCACTGAGTGAATAGAATTCAAGACTCTTTCATGTATTACGTAAAAAAATGCCATCCCTTATGCATTAATCAGTTTTCTGTCACTGTGACAAAATACCTGAGATAATCACCTTTTTTCCGTGATTTTAAAAAGTCTATTAATTTATTTATTCTAATTAGGTATATATGACAGCAGAAGGCAATTTGATTCATTGTACACAATTGCAACACAACTTTTCATTTCTCTGGTTGTACACGATGTAGCGTCACACCATATGTGCAGTCAATCATACATGTACCTAGGGTAATGATGTCCATCTCATTCCATCATCTTTCTTGCCCTGATTCCCTCATGAGATAATCATCTTTTAAGGAGCAAAGTTTTATTCTGGCTTATGATTTCAGAGGTTTCAGATCCCGGTCCCTTGGCCCTGTTACCTTTGGGTCTGTGATGAGCAGCACATCATGGCAGGAACGTGTAACAGAGGAAGCTTCTTAGCTCATGATAGCTGAGAAGCAAAAGAGAAAGAGAGGAGAGGTGGGGGTCCTAATATCTCCTTCAAGGGGATGCCTCCAGTGGCCTAATTTCTATCCATGAGGCTCAATTTCTAAAGTTTTATACCATTTCTTAATAGCACCGTAGGCTGGGAGCCAAGCTTTTAACACCTGGGCATTTGGGGGTGCTTAACCACTGAGCCATATTCCCAGCCCTTTTTTAACATTTTATTTAGAGATAGGGTCTTGCTGAGTTGCTTAAGATCTTGCTAAGTTGCTGAGGCTGGCTTTGAACTTGTGATTCTCCTGCCTCAGCCTCCCGAGCCACTGGGACTACAGGCATGCGCCACAGCACCCAGCTCTTACTCATTTTTTTTTTTTTTTTAAGGGAGGAAAATTGAAGCACAGTGAGGCAACTTTGAGCTCAAGATCACAAGGCAAGGAAAGAGATAGAGATGGGGGCTGGGGCTGGGGCTCAGTGGTAGCACACTTACCTGGCATGTGTGAGGCACTGGGTTCAATTCTCAGCACCACATATAAATTTTTAAATAAATAAATAAAGGTCTGTCAACAACTAAAAATATATATATTAAAAAAAAAAAGAGACAGAGATGGTGTTTGAACCTGGAGCTTCTGACTCCCATACTCAGGCTCTTATTATGCTACAAGTAGTGAGTTATTACAAGGGACAGAACATCTCACGGCAGAGGAAGTGCAGTCGTCCCTCTGGGTTTCAGTTTCCTCGGAAAGGACAGAGTGCATTTACCTTGAAGCTAATACAGCACAGTCTCAGGGCTCCTCACTTGTATGGGCCCCTTCAGAGCTCCAGCCTAGTTTCAAATTACCCCAGATGAGACCTAACCAAACTTGGACCAGCCCCCACCCCTTGGGTAAGAGAATAGTTCCTGATAATTTTTTTTAAATGTATACAGTCAATAGGAATTGAGTTCCACTTAATTAATTCCATTTGGAATGGAGAAAACTATTCCTTTGAAATCATTTGGAGCTCTGGATATGTTTGTTAAGAGTGGGTGTAAGGTGGTGGTGTGTGAGGAAGTGGTCATGAGAAAGAGCTAGAAGGGGAAGTTCACGGTTGAGACCTGTGCACCAAGGACTTGCAGAGCTGCGTGCTTGCAAGGCCAGGAGTTGAAACTTAGATGGTCACCAGGCAGAGATTCAGCTTAAGAGAAGAAAGTGGGTTCCTAGGGAATTTGTCATTTAGCTCCTCCTGAGAAGAGGGGCACTGACGTAGTTAGATTGAGTGTAGCAGGATAGAATCATCACCTCTTGGAACCAACTTCTGCTCACCATTGGTATTTTAGCTCCAGGCAGCAGGAGATAAGCGCTTTCCAGCGTCTAGTCTCAGCCCCTTGCTACATAGATGTGTAGTTTACAAGCTCAGGRAGGTCATGTAGCCGATCTGCAGCTTCATCTTCTGATTCACTACCCACCTCATGTTTGCCTTGCCATCTATAAAATAACCAGAAGGCAAGCACAAAGACTGCCTACTCGGAATTTTCTGGACGTAATGGGAAGTTGCCTCGCCTTAAAGTGATGGTTTCTATCTGGGTATCAGCCAGTGCATCTATGTCCTTTGAGATAAGCTTCCACTGAACATCTGCCATGTCACTGAGTATTAGAATGGGACCTGAAAGGGATTCTGTCAGTCCCTGGGTTCTTTGGTTCTTCCCTGGTGGGATCTCACAGCAATTTGATCTCTCATGGATAGTGCATTTCTGTGGTTTAACTCAACATTAATTTTCTGGAAAGCCTAGGGGATTTTCTTTTTGTGAGTCTCCAATGTGAATGGAAATAAGAATTGCTTGATGCCATTTCCCTTGCCAGATGGAATGTGCTCAGCAGGACAGCAGATCTGTTAATGGAGAGTTGAAGCCCTAGGGCAACCACTCTGAGCATAAAGAAAGCAAAACTGTGCTGGGCCCTGTAGGGGTCAAGAGCTGGCTTTTAAAATATCCATTTAACCTCAAATGCATAAAAAATAATGCTTATAAAACATGACTGAGACCACTATCAGGTTTCAAAACTCACTTTGGACCAGAGAAAGAGAAAATGTAAAGCAGCTGTTTACCAAGCATTTTTTTTTTTTTAAACTAATCTGTGTACACACTCACCAGGATCTGTGCTTGGCTTTCTCTGGGGAGGGGAGGGTGTGTAGGTAAGAATGTCAAGAAGAGAAAGAGAAAATCATGCCCTACATTGCTGCTAAAAACCTCTCCGCTCCAGGAGCAACAGCTGGCCTTCAACAGTTGGCACTTGGACTGCAGATTTCTTCCCATATTACCTATGCTTAACCTCATTGTCAGAAATTGGTTTAGTCTGATGACCATTCACTGTTATCACCCATAAGAACAGAGCTTAAGCCCCATTTATTTTCAATGCTGGGATAATTTCTGAGTACTTAACCAACTCAGGGACATCTGCTTTACCATATATAACAGATATTAACAACTGACCAGCTGGTTGCCCGGAAGGCAATGAATGACTTAATGAGATCCTGTTCATTCTGGTGACCGTAAAAGGGAGGCCAACTGGAAATACAAATCCATGAACAATCGGTTAAGAACAGAGCTTTATCTTTCCCACATAAACCTAGAATTTCAGATGGCGATTTATTGGAACACATCTCCATAGTGGTCCCTCTGTAAATCCAAATGCATTCAACTATTTGAATTTAATTAACACTTTTTTTCCCCCAAGGCATCAAGGGAGATGAAAAAGAAGAAGAAAATTTTCAGCAAAAAAAGTATTTTTCCACCACACCATACTGCTTCTTGCTGCTTACTTTCCTTTTTAATATTGATGGTCTGGGAAATCCCAGAGCAGAAGAAGCAAGACAGCAGTTTATACTTAGGTTAACTTTGGGGTATGAGGAATTGATAGGAACTATCTGGCTAGACTGACCCAGTTCCCTTTTATTGATAGCAAGACACCAGATCCTGTCTCAAGTTGATGTCATGGGATATAGTGCAGGTGGATAAGAATAGGCTCTGGGATAAAGAATGGAGAGGAGAAAAGATTCTACATCAGAGGAAAAATCAAAGTGATATTGAAGGAAAAGAACTGTGAGAGAAGAAAATCTGATAGATTTTCTTGGTGCAAGAAAATAAAGTCATGGACTTCTCATTGAAATTAATTTTGAAGTTGCGATAGTGGCTGTGTGCCCAAGAATTCCAGAATGCGGTTGTGGGAAGACACAGAGTCATAGTCCATAGAACTGATACTGTGGGACTCAAACTACTTTTCATGTGAGCCATATTATGGTGTTTCTGGTTAGGAACAGAATCGCAGTAATTTGTGAATTATGCAAAGTGATGCCCTATGTTCTAAAAGCAAAGCTCTTCCAAACTAACACTAACTCTGGCGTTGGTAGATGTGTTGGGAGTGTTGGTTTCCTCCATCATTTGTATTGATAACTGAAGCTCAGAAAGAGAGAGTACAGATTGGGTCAGACCTGTCGTTTGTAAACCAGAGTCCATGCCTGGGCAGGGAAGGGCTATGCTGGGGATTTATAAAGTCTGTTCAATTAGTAGTGGTCAAAGTATGGCTTGAGCCCTTGTCCCATGAGGGTATTTTCTTTTTATTTATTTATTTTTGCAAGCAGGAAAACAATCTCAGAGGAAAGGAGTTGTTTACTGAGGGATTATTTGTGACAGCCATTTTTACATATGTTAGGGAACTGAGTCTGAGAGGTCAGATAATCATATGAGCACACACCACTAGAACACGGCAGACCCGAGATATGAATACAGGTCCATCTGACTCCAAAGCTCACGCCATTCCCAATAAATTCTACTGTTTCACAATGTCACAGGAAGGAAGGATAAAGAAAAATTTCCTACCCAAGTTTGCAAAAGTAAGCCTTCAAATCCTATGACTATTAGATTATTCCTATTTTCAGAAATAAAGTTAT